GAGGGGTTGCGATTGGAGAGGAGGAGTTCAATGGGGGAAAAAAGGCAAAGCATCTGAAATAAATTCAACAATAAAGAGAAGTTTAAAAAAAAAGAAAAATTAGAATTTATTTCTCTTTGTACCACACTCCTTGTACTCTAAACTCTCTAGCTATACTCAAAATTTTATTATATAAACATTTATAGTTAACTTAATATTTGATGTTTATACTGTTATGAATAAGTAATTATGTTTATGGTTAAGCTGAGTATTTTGCTATAATACAGCTTCTGTATAGCACTTTGTTTTCCCTGCTGTTATTAATTGTCTCATTTTAACAATCACTTCAGTTTTTATTCTACGCCCTCTCTATCAGAGCTACAAAGTCCCTCTCTATGGCAAAACACAGCAGGTAATCTATCAATTTCTTATTTTATATAAAAATATCTCTCATTTTACTTATTCATTTATTTTTTCTAGTCATTTATTGAATCTTTACTGAAGTTGTGATTTTCATATCATTTCTCTCCTATTTTCTATTTCTTGTATCTGGACTCTACTTCTTGGGAGTCTTCTTCACTTCATCTTTCAAATACTCTACCATTTTCCCCCATGTTCATTTACCATTTGTTCTTACTATGCTCTGAATGACTCCATTTTCCTTTCCTAGAAGTATCTTATTTCATGTATCCATTTGTCTCATCTGTCCAGAAATTTTATTTTTAGTGGTCTCTTCTGCTCCCTGCATTTTCTCTTGAATCATTCTTTTCTTTTTGTTTCTTTAATTTTCTTCTCTTTTCTCTTTATTTCCTCTGCATATTTCTTCTGGCTTCTACTTCTTTTTTATTATTGTTAATATTATAAGATGCTCTCATGCTCTGTTTACATATAAGAATGAAGCATTAAAAACTATTCAGAGCTCAGTTAGTAGCAGATGTTTCATTGAGTAATGGTCTTACCTGTAGGATGAAACATGGCTGCCCAGACATTTCATGGGTAGTTCCCCAACTATCAGTATCTGGAGATTTTTTCTGTTGAGCAGGTTAGTTTCTTCAGAGGAGTATTCTTCTGCCTACTGCTCAGTAGAAGTTCAGGTCTGGCTTTCAGCATTTTAGGGAGAACAATGGTATCACCATTCAGTGGACCTCATGTGATCCTCATTTTCTCAGTATGCTGCCTTATGACAGAGGCAGCTGTGCCTGGGATTCCTACTCCTGAAGCTCTTGGCACAACCTCTCTGAGATTTTCTGTCCTGCTTTCTGCCCAGTTCAAAGGGCAAAAAGGCAGCCCCTTGTCTAAAGGATATAGAAGAGAACATAAGGACTAGAGGGCTCACCATTGTTTCTACAAAGTTTGAATCAAGTCTTATTCTTTGATCTTTTTTCTAGCTCATACTTTCTGGAGTCCTAGCTTCTCAACTTTCTGAAAGTTTGAGGATATTATTTTCTCCCTTTTGGAGTCTCCCACTTCGGCTTAGGTTTCAGCTATCTGTGTCTGTTAAGTCAGTTCTCCATTCATTTTCAAGCTTCCTAAAGCATGTTGTCATCATCCATCTGTCAGTCTTCTTCTCCATTACTTTCATCCTCCTGTGTCTTAATATCATTTTGTTCCTTATTTAGTTTATTTCTCTGTTTTAGTGGATCGAAGAAGAACGTACAGATAAATGAATAAGTTAAATAGGTCAGGTTTGCCAGGACATTCTGCTTCTTTCTTTAAATAAGTGGGAAAGCCAGATCTCTGGTGAAACATCACAGATGCTCCATTTGTAAATTAAATGAGATTATTTTTCTAGCACAACTTTTGTTAACAAAGAGACTGTTTGCCAATTGAAGATTTCAAAGTACTGTGAGATTTCCAAAAACAACTCATAAAAAAACAAATTTAGTCTTTGATCGTGTGAGCCAGGTTATAGCAAACAAAAATTAGGAACTGAGAGATATCATCTGTTTCATCTGAATTCATACCGAAAAGACAAAACTGCAATTCTGAATTGTACCATAACTTTCCTCAAAATATTAGAAGAAATGTGAGCAATTCATAGTGGATGACACAATTTTCCAATTTCAATAAAATGATAACAAAACAACTAAATATTTATAATTATATAGGATACACACATATTGTATTTCAATCCTACCAATGGAAATATTCTAGGCATTATAACTGCAAAATGATTATTCCATGTTATCTGGTGATATATTCTTCCAGCCAAAATCTGTCTGAAATGAAACAGTACCCTATAATTAAAATAAATCATAACTTTCACATAGCTAATTTTCAAGTTAGCAGGAAAAAAATTAAACTTGCTTTATTTGCACCCTGTCATGGATTACCTGATATCCATCATGACTCTACAACAAAGAGGAGTCAAAGATCATGACCTCAGGTTTTGAGCTCCCATCACAAAATATATAAGTAATACATAAGACTTTCTGAATAATTCAAGTAATGTAAACTCACATAGAATAAAATCTACTGTTTATATTTAGTTCTACCTAAATTCAACTGCTCATTTCCATAGTTGGTTATTTTCTACCAGTTGTTGGGCATCCTTCCGAACTTCTGGCATGGATTTGCATAGATGTGCACTTTTACATATACAGTTATGCTTACACATACAGAGTGCTTTAAGTAAAAATAAACATAAAATATTTATCTTGAATTTGAATATATTTTGGAGGCCATCTCTTATGAATAAATTTAGGTCTCTCTCATGCAGAATATTTTGTGATATGGGACTATCATTGTATTCTGCTTTGTTCTTATTAATAAATATTTAAGGGACTTTTTTGCTGTTGCCATTTCTGTAGTGAAGTGGCATCTGTGTAAATTACCTTATATATACATAAATACATAAGTAATGTAAATTCCTAAAATTAAAATTGCTGAGTTGAAGAATAAATTATTTTCTATTTTTACATATAACAAACCACCTTTCTAAAGAGTTAATATCAAGTCATATGCCCACAAAAAAAAGAGTATTAGACAACACTAAATATTACCAGTGTTGTTAATTTCTGACTATATATTTATTTAAAAAATATTTTCTTATTTGTTACTTTTAATTTCTGCCCTACATTGATGTTATAATTTTGCTTCAACTGTCAAATATAATTTAGAAAACTCAAGATGAAAAGAAAAAAATCTAGCCCTGGTCAGGTGGCTCACTAGGTTGGAGTGTTGTTCCATACACCAAAAGGTTGCAGGTTTGATTCCAGGTGAAGACACATACCTAGGTTGTGAGTTCAATCCCCAGTCAGGGTGCCTGTGGGAGGCAACCAATGGATGTTCCTTTCTCACATTGATGTTTATCTCTCTCTTTTTCCCTTTCTCTCTCTTTCTCTAAAAATAAACAAACATATCTTCGGGTAAGGATAACAAAAAAAAGAAAAGTCTATTATTGTATTTACTCATATATTTTGCTTACTGTTTTCTTTCTACCTTCTTGTGTTTCAATGTTCCTTCTTTTATTGTTACCATTCTGTTTAGAAAACTTCTGTAGATAGACCTTTAGGATAGGTCTATTTGTGACAAATTCACTTAGTTTTTCTTCATCTAAGAATGTCATGATATCCCCTTCATTCCTGAAAGATATATTCGCTGGATACAAGATTCTAGGATGACAGTTCTTTTCTTTCTGCACTATAAAAACGTGTCACTTCATCTGGCCTCCATGATTTCTGATGAGAAAACCTGCTATCACTCTACTTGTTTTTCTTCTACAGGTAAAGTGTTGCTATTCTTCGAATGCTTTCAAAATTTTTATTTAGTTTCCAAAAATTTGTCTATCATGTGACTTGGTATAAATATCTTTAGGAGTCATTCAATTTCTTGAATCTGTAGGTTTATGACTTTTGTAGAATTTATAAATATTTCAGTCCTGAATTCCTCTTTTTTTTTTTTTTTTTTTTTTTTTTTTAGCAGCTCTATACCCCATTCTCCCTCTCTGTATGAGACTTGAGTGACCTGAGTGTTAGGTCTTTTATTATACTCTGTGAATTTATGTTGTTTCTCAGGTACCAAAGTCCTTGGTTTTCTTATGTCTACTGTTAAAGTCTCTTTAGATTTGGTCTATAAATTGCATCTAGGGTTTTTAGTTGTACTTGGTAGAAGGAATAGTGGAAAATATGTCTGCTCTATCTTCCCATTATCTTTTGAGTCTTACACTTTTCAGTAATTTTTCAAAAAGGTTCAAATTATCTTGCTTAGACCTGGGATTTACCGTTAAGTGATTTATTCATATAGGAGCACAGGACTAAATTACTGATGAGACCTGAAATCTTCCTTTATGTCTTATATAGTAATGAATTATTCAGGATTATATTAATACATTAGTTAGTTTTCAGAAATCTAATGAAAGTGTGAATTCATAGTAATGTCACCTTCTCACTCTTAGAAAGTAATAAATGTATTGAAAGAAAATATATTCACAACAAATAGAAAAATATGAAAAACAATATATTAGCAAGATGTTTCTGATTTGGTATTAATTATTGTTACGTTTTGTTATTCATTTTAAAAGACTACATGGTCTTCTAAAAAATTTATAATAAATAACTAAAATGTAAGTAAGATCTTTTAAAAAGAATTGTCAGAGAAGCTCAGGAAATCTAAATATATTTATATACCTGAAAAAGAATTTATGGTAAATGGATCTCAATCAAACAAATCTTAATATTTCTTCACCTATACATATTTAAAGGAATATGCATACATAAAAATATAATCACAATGTATGATTTGGCTACCATTCAATTTGTGTTTAAATTACCCACCAATCTGACTGATTAATAACCTGGGCTACTTGTTAAAAAAGCACATTTCCAAGAATTATCCACACAGTTTCTGGATCTAAAACTTGAGTCTGCTATTCTTCATTAGATATATTTGGAAATGGTACATTAAAGGCATTTAAGTGGAACAATGAAAGCAGTTAATCAAAAATTTCAAAACACTCACCAAAATCAAACAAAAAGCCCACTCTTTTTCACTAGAATCAGGAATCAAAGTCTATGACTCACCTAATTGAATAAAGAACATTTCCATTCTTGAAAATTCTCAGCAGTTTGTTGTCTGTAGTAACTTCGTGAAAGTTGGCACCTTTTTCATTGGCAAAGAACAGATCAGGTTTCCAAATGGAGTCCAGCATGGAAGGGTCTAGATCTAATGAGTCGTCAGGATATTCACTGTATGCAAGGCGAGGATCATTCCATTTCTGACGAAGAAAGATATTCACTCTGTAATCCTACGATGAAAGAAGAAAAGAAAGAAAAAAACGACTTTAAAGAGTTTAGAATCTTATGTGCTATTTTGGGGCTTCTTTGAATTATAACAAAAGCCACTGACATCGTCGTGAGCTTTCATCCCACGCAATCATCACTCATTACTACCAACAAGAGTCATTTTATTTCTGAGGCTTTCAGGGATCCATATGCCTCCAAAGAAGAGGTCACAGGAGGGCACAATTTTATCATGCTTATATTTTGTGGTTGTATTCAAATTTCACTCTTCTGGTTTATTAGAATAAAATATTGGATTGCTTTTAGATACCCAGAATAAAATATTTTCAGTTTTGCCCTTATTTTCTAGAACCATTTCTTTTAGTAGGTATCTAATAGCCTCTGGATTGCCTTTACAAAAAGTTTCTTGAAAGCTGTGTTTTATAAAAATGACTATATATAATTTTTGATAATGAAGACACATATTCTCATATTTAATATAGCATGTAAGTTACATAAAATAGGTGACTTGGGAAAAGTAACAGGTGATTTTGAAAAAAATAAAAGAATAGTAAAGAGGTGTCTATTTAGTTCCTCTGCCAATTTTTTAATTGGGTTCTTTGTCTTCCTTTTGTTGAGCTGCATGAGCACTCTATATATTTTGGAAATTGACCCCTTATCTGATGTACATTGGCAATTATGCTCTCCCATAAAGTGAGTTGCCTTTCCATTTGGGTGATTGTTTCTTTTGCTGTGCAGAAGCTTTTGAGTTTAATGTAGTCCCATATGTTCATTTTCTCCTTTGTTTCTGATGAACTAAATAGACATCTCTCCAAACAGAACATACAAATGGCTAAGAGACCTATGAAGAAATGCTCCACATCACTAAGCATCAGAGAGATGCAAATTAAAACAACAATGAGGTATCACCTCACACCTGTCAGAATGGTCGCCATCAACAAATCATCAAACAACAAGTGTTGGTGACGGTGTGGAGAAAAGGGGACTTTAATACACTGCTGGTGGGAATGCAGACTGGTGCAGCCACTATGGAAAACAATATTGTGTTACCTCAAAAATGGAAAATTGAATTGCCATTTGACCCAGTGATACCACATCTAGGAATATATCCTAAAAAGCCTGAAACACCAATCAGAAAGAATATATCTACCCCCATGTTCATAGAAGCACTATTTACAATAGCTAAGATCTGGAAACAGCCCAAATATCTATCAGTAGACAAATGGATAAAAAAGCAGTGGTACATATACACAATGGAGTACTATGCAGCTGTAAGAAAGAAAGATCCCTTATCCTTTGAGACAACATGGAGGGACCTGAAGAGTATTATCCTAAGCAAAACAAGCCAAGCGGAAAAAGACAAGTTTCATATGATCTCATTAATTTGTGAAATATAATGAGCATAACATTCTGAAAAACAGGATAGTCCCAGAGATGTGGAAGTAGGGTATAGACAATCCCCAGATGGGGGGGTTGGGGGGAGAGATAAACCACAGAACTTATATGCATGCATGCGTAACCAATGGACATAAACAACAAAGCTGGGGACAACAAAGGGGGGAGAGGAAGGGGGAGGACGGTGTTAGTGGGGGGAAAAAAAAAACATCTGTAACAAAAAAAAAAAATTATTGCCAGTAATTTTTAAAGAAGGTTTAGCTAGTGAGATTTCTGAATTAGATCTTTAATAGTGAAGTTAAAAAGGGCAAGAGTCACTGATTTCAGCCAAATTCTTGTTCACAAATTCTGGACTAATGGGTAAAATTACAAGATTGATTGCTGGGTGTCTGTGTAGTATTTGTACACTATATATGGATATAAGCTTTGCCTGTGACATTATATACACAATTTTCCCCTTAGATTTTTTTAAATGAGCAAATAATTATATCAATTTCATTACAAGCATTAGTCATGTAAACATTATTAGAAGGCTTCATTTGCATGGAAAATAGGCTGAAGATATTCAGAGAAACTGAATACCAGTTTTTATCTATTTTCTATTTCTTGAATACTAAAATATCAGTTGTCAGAATACTGTAACCAAGTAATCACAAAGAACGCTTCCATAACATGAGACCCTGTAGATGGCTTCAGAGTGTGTAGTGAATATAACAAATCTAAATGTTTCCTCAGTCATTTTTTTCTGCACTGAGTCCTCTATCTTCTTTTTTTTTTTTCAATCCTCACCCGAGGATATTTTTCCATTTTTTTGTTCAGATAGAGTGGGGGGGAGAGAAACATCGACGTGAAAGGGACACATCGAGTGTTTGCCACCCGCAGGACTCAACCAGGACCGGGAACAAACTGCAACCGAGGTACGTGCCCTTAGCGGGAAGCAAACCTGGGTCTCTCTGGACCGCAGGCCGAAGCTCTAATCACTGAGCAAAACTGGCCAGAGCCTTTCTATCTTCTAACTGTAACTGAAGCTACACACCAGATTATATGTTTTCTACTTGCTAGGAGCCCCATGTATCTTCACCAGTGCCAGTGGAGCAGAGTTCATTTCAGCTTCTTTACCACAAAGCTTAGGACAATGTGGTAATCTCACCAGCCATAAGGATCTAGAATCTATAAATGGGAATATATGAACAAGCTTCTACCAGACAGGGACAGGTCAACCTCTCCTAGCTTCAAGTTCAGAGTACCATGAAGCACACCTCTATGATGGCCAGTTGCTGTGTCCCTTTGCCATTCTGCTTTCTATACCTCAGCCCTAACTGCCACCAAAGGAATTGGTGATTGGACTCAAGTCAGTTTCTCTCTGCCCTACCTAAAACAAAACAAGACAAGGTATAGTGATACCTGCCAGGGAAAAAATAACTGACTAGTAAAGAATTTCCCTTTGGACTGATTCTTAAGATTTTATTTATATATACAATCTATCTGTCTCCTGGCTGGTGTGGCTCAGTGCACTGAGCATTGTCCCATGGACTAAGAGGTCCCAGTTCAATTCTGGTCAGGGCCCATGCCAGGGTTGCCAGCTTGATCCTCAGTAGGTGTCATGCAAGAGGCAGCTGATCGATGTTTCTCTCTTACATGGATATTTCTCTCTCTCTCTCTCTCTCTCTCTCTTCCTCTCTCTCTCTAAAGAATCAATAAAAATTATTTTTGGAAAGATATAGCCCAGCTGATGTGGCTCAGTGGTTGAGCATTGACCCATGCACCAAGAGGTCGCTGGTTTGATTCCTGGTCAAGGCATATGCCCAGGTTGGGGGGGGGGGGCATGCAGGAGGTGGCCAATCAATGTTCTCTCTCATCGATGTTTCTATCTCACTCTCCCTCTCCCTTCCTCTCTCTTTAAAATCAATAAAGAAAAAAAGATGTAGATAGATAGATGATAGATAGATAGATAGATAGATAGATAGATAGATAGATAGATAGATGATAGATAGATTTGAGGTATTTTTATGCTGTAACTAATTTATTAATTGAGAACACTCTGCAGCCATTTCCCAAGTGACGCTAAAAGTACTTTTAAGCTTCAGTGTGTGATAAAATTTGGCTGAATCTCTTTATCTTTACATTATTAATTTAGTGATAAACTTTATAAACACAGTTTCAAATCTCCCAGGAACACTCTTTGCTCTAAGAGTGAACTAAAAAAGACACCAAGTATTCCTCATTTTCTGTTTCTAAGTCACAAAAGAAAAAAAATATCAACTTTCACCAACCAAGGCCAAATGGTAACCTACATCCATTGTGCTCTTTCTGTTAATAACCAAAAATATCTTTGTTTCCTAACACATTTAAGTATTGGTTTAGGGACACGGTCCAAAGCAAAACTAAAAAATAATCATCTCCTGAAAACCTAGAAACTGAAGTTTTAACAGTCAAATGAACATTATGCTGAGAAGCTTCCCTGTTACACAACCAAATTCAGCCTTTCAAAAATAATTTTTAAGGCTGATTGCTTGCAGCCAATATATCTCATTTATACCCAGCAACCAATTATAATATTTTTGAATCCTGATTGTTTGTGAAAATGTGCAAAGGCTAAATAAAATGACATACCACTGTAAAAGAAGTCCTTGCAACTTGATTTGAAAAAACTTGCTTGTAATAGAAGACCATGGACTAGAGAAGAAAACAGCTTTGCAAAACAGAGACTAATAGAATTTTATGCAGCATATGCAAAAATATTTTAAATGGACACATAGAACAGTTACATGGGAGTAAAAAGAAAAAGAAAGACAGTAACAAATATGAGATAATTTATATTGAGAGTAAAATCAATATTTATACTTCACATTTCTAATCCCTAGACATATATTGAATTCATAAGTCTTCTAAGGCAGTTGCATTGATGCTTACATGGAATCATAACATTTTAGGACAGAGTTGGTAATGACCTCCTAAATCGATAATATATTTGTGTTGTTTTCAGCCACTGGATTTAAGTTGTGGCAATGTGCTACAGCAACAATGAGAAACTGATACAATTGTCTTTTTAAGTGGATTTGGGTACATTATCTTTCTCATTTTTTGAAGAAGTTTCTTGAACAATAGATTGTTTTTGTCAGTCACTCTAGAGTCTAGAGGGTAGAATATTTAAGGTAAACATCCCCGAATTTCTAGCCAAGTGAAAAAATAACTCAACATTCTTCCTATTTTAGGAATCCTAATTAGAGATATTGGCTAATTCAAAATGGTCAGAAAATAGCTTTCTTTTTGCAAAGAAATAAGAACAAAGGGCAAACTCCCTGATAATCATTTTGCTGGTTTAATTTTATAGGATTTTCTAATTCTAAAGTACTACACAGCATAGGTTTCCATGTATTACAAAGTACAGAATACTAATACTCAGAGGTGGAATAACTGCTCCAATGTCATTTCCATAACATCCCCCATATTGCCTGCACCATATGCTCTATGATCTCCACCACAGGGAGGGTCATTGTCTGGGTCTCTGACTGAAATAATGGCCCACTGGGAAAGTGACTTTCATTGCTGTTACTAAACCAATGGGGAAAAAGTCATTTTATAAGAACTACTTAAAAACTCAGAAAGG